CGCGCATAGGTATGTTCTGCTAGCGCCTAAAAATCAAGATTCCAACGTTTTGTCACATGAAATCATATCTGGCAATCATATTATACATTTGAATGATATATTTAACTGCATTCTATCAAAAGGGTTGTTACGCGATGAGTATAAAGATATTTAATAAACTACCGGTAAATGTTAAAGAAGAGATGGAAGTCGGTAAATTTAAAACCAAACTCAAAAGCTGGTTGTTATTAAAGTGTGTTTATGATATAAAAGACTTCTTGAATGAATAGAATATCGTTGCCTAAACTTAACATAGCCATGCTTTAAACATTTATATTTATTTGATGTTCTTTAGATTAAATACTCCTTTGACATTTTAATTTTTTTCTATATATACTTAATTGATTTACCTAGTTATAAAATAATAGTGATTGACACGACAATTGTAATTTTAATTAATTTAATTTTATTCCATAATAAGTACATAAATTTATTGACTTGCTTACTTATGAAAAGAATGATTTAATATATTATGTTAAATAATTTTCGCATGCCAAATGTGGTAAACATGTGAACTATGTACAATTATTTGTCATCTTTAATGTACCATGTTTAGCGAATAAATGATATTATTATTACTATTATTTGTTTATAGGAAATATAGTTTTCCATGGTCATTGATGAAGAGTATTTTTGTTCAGCTTCTTTCCTTCTTTTGCAAGCAGATGTGCAATCCTGGTCCCACCAAGGAGGTGAGGTCAAATTGTTTCTGTAGGGTTGTTTTATAGGAATAGTCTTACTGGCGGAAGATAATAATGCATTTTTGAATTCTGTATAGACAGAATGTATATTTTCATCATGCAAAGAAGAAATTATTGATATCGCTTGATCTAAGACAGAAGAATAATGATGCCAGTCTGCCTTTGATAAATTATATTTTAACCTGGGGTTGAATACAGAATTTGCTCTTGTAGAGTCAACAGATGTGATAAAAATTGGATAGTGATCACTACCATGTGAATTTGGTAATGTTTTCCATGTTAGAGAGGAAACTAAGCCAGGAGGACAAAGAGTCAAGTCCACCGCGCTTCTTATATTCTGAGAAGGTGAAACACGGTGGGTAGGAGAACCATCATTTAGGATACAAAGATTTAAGTCGTCTATCATATCTAGAAACGCAGATGATAGTGGGTCGCAGTGATGTGAGCCCCATGAAGTATGGGGAATATTAAAGTCTCCCATGGTAACAACAAGTGGAGTTAGAGAAGAAATAAGATTACAAAGTTCATTTAAGATGGTAACATTAGGATTAGGAATGTATACAGACAGAAACGATATGTTGAGTGCCTTGACTGCAACAGCATTAATCGAGGAGCTGTGGGAAGGCAGAGGTATAGAAGAATATGTAATTTTTTTTGAGATCGGAATAGAGGAGTCAGCATGTCCATCGCTCCTATCATCCCGAAGACATGAATAACCTGAGATCCTAAATTGGGAGTCAGGTCTAAGCCACATCTCCTGAATGGCAAGAACAGGTGGACTAAATTTGTTAATAAGAAAAATAAGTTCATTCTTTTTATGTTTGATGCTCCGACAATTCCATTGTAGAATTGTGAATGTTGCTAGTTATTGAAGTAAGCTGAGTAAGTTTATGACGTAAACTGAGGGGAAGTTCTGCGTCACTGAAACGGGAAATCATGTTAATTAACATTGATACCATAAGTTCGCAGAAGCTATCATTATTAGAGATGTTGTCATTCCCCAGTAAAGCACACCCATTTGGAAGGGAAGAAGGAGGATTCTCAAAAATTGCCTGATGGGCTGACTTATCATATCCAGAATTTGATGATTGGTTGTAAGTACGTTGAGGGATAAAGATTGTTTTTTTATATGATGTACATTGTGAGGGCTGAGCCGAAGGAACTGAAATACTGTCATTTATGGGATAAGGGGTCTGATGAGAAGAATTACGAGGTGGACTTCTTGTTGTGTCAGCAAAGGATCTTCGTACCAGAGGGAATCTAGTTGCAGCTTCTAAATATGATATATTTTCTTGTGACATAACTAGTTTAATAGATTTTTGCCTTAGATGTTCAGGGCAGGTAGGGTCTTTTACTGTGTGGGGTCCTGAGCAGAATAGACAAGTAGGAGTTTGCCTAGTACATGGTAAACCTTCATGATTCTGTGCACATATAAAGCAGCGAGGGGGTGATCGGCACTGAGAAGTAACATGGCCAAATTTGCAACATTTATGACACTGAATGAGTGACAAAACATATTTTTCTACTGGCATAGAGGTGTAAAAACAGTAAATATGTGGAGGAAGTTTTTGTCGAGAAAATGTTAGAACTACTGTTTGAGTTGGAATCCATGAAACGCTATTGCTGTCACTCACTGATCGTCTATTGAGTCGGCGAGCTTTAATTATAGCACCATATCCAGAGGGAATTTCTATAGCTGCTATTAATTCTTCTAATGTCCTCTCTATGGGAACTTGTCTGACTAGCCCCATACAAGTGATATTATATGAGGGGATAGTTGCTTCATACTTAGAAGTCTGAAGAGCTGGGTGATCAATAAAAGTGTTTGCATCCGCTGCTGTTTTAAACTCAACTGATATCCTGTTTCGTCCAACTTTTTTGACGCCGTCACAAACTATATTTTTAATGTTATTATGATACAGAAAGTGACCAAATTTAATTGGTTTGAGAGTTACTCCGGACACTTGATCATTTGACGTTTTACTTACGTGAACTAGAAAAGGCGCGGTATCATCTTGAGAGTACTTTACTTTCTTATTAATAAAATCAGGATGGGTACATGAGGATTGTATTGAAGGAAACTGTTGGTTTGGATCAGTAATAACTATTTTTTGTGGATGGGCAGACCCATTACTTATTTGGGCGCGTTTACGGTTAATAGATTCTACATTATCAACGGGTAAAGTAAAGGAGTCATTGCGAACCCGTTCGGGATCGGGAGGTTCGTCCTCCATTATATTTCTATAACTAAAACTTACATAAAAACGGCACAATTAAAAATACTTACTAATCTACAGATGTTAAAACCACCACCAAGACAACAAAAATTACTATAGTGACTCAGCAGCACTTAATGTAACAATAAATTTAAGCGAAAAAAAACTACGACACTTGTATTTCTCACTTAATCTCAAAGCAAAGTCCAATTACTCTTTAACTTGATGTTTTGTTTCGTATTTGGCACTTGGACAATGAAGCCAAAATCAAGTGCCATTTGGAATTGTTTCAATGAAGTTTCTGGGAATATGACAAAGTGTAAACTATGTGAGAAGATATATTCACGAAAGGGAGGAACGATTACTTCATTAAAAAGTCATTTATAGTCTGTGCATGCCACTGAATTCGAAGAATTAAAAAATTTGTAACTGAAAAGAACAGAAGAAGACCTTACGCTGATGTAGCTGCATCTTTAGGGATTCCTTGCCCACCCACTTCATCACAACAGTTATCAAGTATTCACCCGGCTCTTCATGCTTCTCAATCTTATAGAAAGACTGTTTTCAGAATTAACCCAACTAGACCTGTTTCAAATTCGGTAGGCTATGGATAAGGTAGCACACAACAATATTGTAAGAACCCCTACCTCTTCCCTTCCAAATGGTCATACTCTTCTAGCTAATTTATACCCTAATGATAATCTCCTGGAAAACCTTGTGTCCTCCATCTCTGATATAATTGGCAAATTTGACGACATACACCTACCGTTTAACGCGAGAAATAAACTGCTCTTCCAAAAAATGTATAAAATTCAATCGCCTCCAAATCCTCCAGTGGAACTGTCGGAGCATCAAGAACAAGAAATCTGAACTAACTAATTTGATAAATATTCATAACCCCTCAGCCATTGCTATTGCGGAAACCTGGCTAAGACCTGGTTTCAGATTCAGAATCCCTGGTTTTTCGTGTATCCGTGACGACCGCAGCGATGGCTACGGTGGCACTATGATTCTTCTAAATAGAAATCTTACCTTTTGCTCAATCACCCTTCCACCTCTGCAAGAGAATATTAATGCAACAGCTGTAAAAGTAATGGACGTCACAATTGTGTCAATATATATTTCCAATCCTACTCCTGCCTGTATCCCAGAGCTTAACTTAATCCTGTCTAGCATATATCCTCCTTTTATTGTAATTGGGGACTTCAATAGTCACAATGTACTGTGGGGTTCTCATAAAATGATTCTTTCTTCCATATTTTAATAGACGTCTTTAATGAGTTTAACCTTTGCATTTTGAATAATGGGTCTACCCTTCCCAAAGTCCTAATTCTGTTGTAGATCTATCCCTCTGCTCTGCTAATTTAGCTGAAAGTATCAATTGGAACACTCTATCGTCCACCTTTGGTAGTGAACACTTCCCCATCCTCTTGTCTTTGTCCAGTAGAAGCCTTCCCACTCGGAATAAATCATGCATCTCGAAGTTTAACGTGTCCAAAGCCAGCTGGGATGTATATCTTTCTGATATAGAAACTAAAGCTCATTCTCTCCCTCCAGTATCTCACATTAACTTACAACATGCCTACTCTGATTTTATCTCCCTTTTAAATAAATCTGCTACAAAATCTATCCCCCTTAAAAATAGCTCCATTAACTAAATTTCCTCACCTCCTTGGTGGGACGCAGAGTGCTCTTCTATTGTTAAAAAACGCAAAGATGCTGAACAACAGTACTCTGCAAATATGTCCATGGATAACTTTATAAATTATAAAAAATAGCCGCTCAAGCCAAAAAAACATTCTCGGAGAAGAAGAAAAAAGCATGGCTTTTATTCTGTGAGAGTCTATCACCTCGCTCTCCAGCCTCCTTTGTTTGGAAAAACATAAAGCGATTTCGTGATTCTCTCAATGATAGCCAAATAAATAATCCTGACCCCTTACTTTTGATAGACAACTTCTGTAGCAGCTTGTCTCCTCCATGGGTCCCTTCCTTAGAGGAGATATTCCCAGTAACCTCCCCACCTTCCCATCTTTCTTATGAATCTATGAATGATACCTTTTCCCTCACAGAGCTTCAGTTGGTGTTGAACCATCTGAAGGACTCCTCTCCAGGTATCGATGGGATCCCGTACTCTCTTTTAACTCACATGGGCCCCACATCCAAAAAATATTTCCTAGACATAATCAACTGTATATATTCAACAGGGGCAGTTCCTGATGACTGGAAAACCCATATCATAATACCTATCCTTAAAACTGGAAAAGACCCCTCTACAGCCACTAGTTACCGTCCAATAGCCATTTCATCCATTCTATTAAAGATAATGGAGCACCTCGTCAAAAACCGCCTAGAGTGGATACTAGAAAATAGAAGCATCTTGCCTAAAAGCCAGTTTGGTTTTAGAAAGGGTTTGAGTACCTCTGACAGCCTCAGCCTTTTGATTTCCAATGTCAGACTTGCATTTTCCCAAAACAACTTCCTTGTAGGTGTCTTCTTGGATGTTTGCGCAGCTTACGATAATGTTATACTTCAGCTGCTCAGGCATAAGATGCATCAGCTGAGCATCCCTGTGAGGATAACGAACTTTGTGTCAAACCTTTATTCAGGAAGACGTGTTCTAGTGCGCGTAGAGGGTAATTTCATGCCAGAGAGATACATCTGGAAAGGTATTCCACAAGGCTCTGTTCTAAGTCCCCTTCTGTATAATCTATATACCCACGATCTAGATAGATCCGTAAACTGTCTGTCCAACATACTCCAATATGCTGACGATTTGACTCTTTTTGTTACTGACCATTCTTTACCTGACACCTCTTCTCGATTATCTCGTGCGGTATATCACCTCCAAGAATGGCTTACAGAACATGGTTTATCCATTGTGGCGAAACGCCAAGCCGCCAAAGCATTAAAAGAGCATATTAGCCTTTGGACATAAGGCATTATGTCTATGGCTACCCACGCTAACAACGCAGTTTTTATAAAATCTAATCCTACTTGATTTTAAGTTATTAAGTTCTGTTACTACGCACTATCTCTTATACTTGTTACTTTGGTGGCAGTATATCAATATAAAGTTCATCACTAGTAATGCCGTTTTAATGGATACCCTAGAACTACTACACGATGTCAGCATAACCTCCGTAGGAGTAATAGTGTTCGGTGAGCATAAGGTACGACTTTCCATTGACTTCCATCGAGTTGGGGGTTGATACGTATTTTTACAGAAAAGTTACACTATTATAAGCACACACACAAAGTTACAATATGCGGAAGCGCGTAATTTTTGAGAAAAAAGTTATTGAAAATCAATTGTTCTTGCATTGTTTATGTCTAATCCTACAATTATGGAGTGTAGAGTAGGAGAACCATCTTATAAGGAGCGAAGGTTGAAAAAGTGTCCTACTATTTACTGTAAATAGAGGTTCCAAAATCTACCACAATAGCGCTGGCGTCTGAAAAACTACGATATGAAGATAGCTGTTATGAACGGAGTGAAGTCAGCTGAATTCAAATATTTCATGACTAGAGTAGTTAGTAAAACGCCAATATACAAAATCTCAACTATTTACGTAGTACAAAACCAAGCGGATTGATCGGTCCTTATTTATTTCTCCATCTTACTCTAAATAATTTTGGCGCTTCTTTTTTAATTTATCCTATGCTACTGCAGCGCCACCCTTATTGGACACGTTTTTAGGGACACTTTTCATATACAGAGATGGTCCTCCTTCTACTCTACACTCCATACCTACAATAAAACTGACGCCATTTTTTTATTGTTATTGTCAGTAGTGATGTCGATTCTTTCCGAAAAATATCGATTTTTTAAAAAGATTCTAATTGTAAGCTGATGTATCGATTCCCAAAAAATCGATTTCTAAAATATATATTTTCTTTTCATGTTTGCATTTATAATGTAAATATAAATCCATTTTATGAGAAAAAAGTCCCCTTCATCATAAAATATAGGGGGACTGATTCAGAAGAATTTCTGTATCTATTTTGAGACTGCTACGTCTCTGGCGCTGCGGGAAGAGCAGCCTCTACGCCTTAGCGTAACAAATCGCAGGCATCCCTCCTCACCTCCGCAGCCTCGGCTTGTTGGTCGCCGAAGGCGCCGAAGCCTCAGCCGCTCCGGCTCGTCCGATGCCTACGATTTGTTACAGCAGGCGGAGGCTGTTCCCCCTACGCGCCTCCGGCTCTTTAAAACCACTCTAGGGGTAGGACAGACTCGTACCAGGTGGAGTCGGGGTCAATCAATTCGGTTCTTTGACATAAGTTGAACCTAACCTATTTTATTTGTTATCTGCCCTAATTGGAACTGTTAAAATAAAACAAAATTCAATAAGAGATCATTTATTAAGGTATCTTTCTTGTTTTTCATGAAATGGAATTATATTTACATTATAAATGCAAACATAAAAAACTATAGATATTTTAGAAATCGTTTTTTTTATGAATCGATACATCAGCTTACGATTTGAATCGATTTAAAAATCGACCTTTTTCGGAAAGAATCGACATTCCTACTGACGACAATGACATTACAAAATGGCGTCAGTTTTATGGTAGGATTAGATATAAACAGATGCTGCTGTCAGAGTGATTGGTTGTCACACGTGCTTTTACGTTATCTAGATTATTGATTACTTTTTGGCAATTTTGTGCAAGGCTTTACAATTTTTTTTGTGTTGTCTGTGATTGTTTTGTTCGTATTGTCCTAATTAACCGGTGAGTAGTAGAAATATTAATATAGTGCATGTAGAATAGTGTGGTAATGATGAATGTAGATGGAGGGGAACCAGAACCCCCGGATAAATCTGGGAATTCTGGCGCTGCCAAACGAAAACCCGCGGACTCATTAATTAATAACATTCCCAGGAAAAAAACTGAGCAAGACGTCAACCCATCTTCCTTACGACAAAATGTGTATGTTCACCCTGATTTCCAGGAAAAAAAAAGTACGTAGATAGCGATAAAGGACCTTTCGTTATCCACTTAACTCGCGCAGAACCTGACCCAGCGGCTGGTTATACCATTAGACCCGTGAAAATAGGTCATATACTTTCACAAAACAAAGTTGCAAATATAGAAAAGCAGGGTATCAAAAATGAAGGCCGCAACAGAGTATCAATTGCATTCAAGACTGCCTCTGATGCTAACAATTTCATTGATTCTCAATTCCTGATACAACATAAACTTGCTGCAACTATTCCCACCTTCAACGTAACTCGTATGGGTGTGGTTAGGGGAATCCCAACTGACATTTCAATGGAGGAATTAGTTGCAGAGTCAGAGCTCCCCTCTGGGAGAGGGGAAATTATTAAAGCCAGAAGGCTCCACAGAAAAGTTAAAAAGGGTGATGAAGTGGAGTGGGTTCCAACCCAAACTATTGTCCTCACTTTCTCCGGTCAAGTGCTTCCTTCACATTTATACTGTTTTTATTCATCAATCCCGGTCCAAACCTGGAGGTAGGTTCCCACCATTCAATGTATGAAATGCTGTCGTTTTGGACATGTAAAGGCTCAATGCTGATCAAAACCTTGTTGTTATAAATGCACAAAGGAACACACTGGGGAAAACTGCCTTACAGATACACCAACCTGTCTTTACTGCTCTGCCAAACATATGGCAACTGATAAAAGCTGCCCCGAACATTCTCGCCAGAAAGCAATTAAGTTAGTAATGTCACAAGAGAATGTCTCGTATCTGGAGGCTTCTGCTCGCTTTCCAGCCGTCAGAAGACCATATGCGGACGTTGCTTCTTCTCAAGTCTCCATGAGTAACAATTCCTCTACCCAGTCTCCTAGCACTCCCTCCTCTCGCCCTTCTCCCCAATCCTACAGGAAAACCTTTCTAAAAGCCAAAACTATTCCAGTGAGATCTACAGTTGGTTATGATAGAATTTCTCATTCCAACATAACAAGAACTCCTACCTCTTCCTTGCCCAATGGACATGCTTTGCAGTCCAATGTTACTCCTAATGACAACCTTTTAGAAAACCTTGTGGCATCCCTTTCGGATATCGTCGGCAAATTTGATGATGTATATCTACCGTTTAACGTGAAAAATAAACTTGACACCCTTTTCTCAAAATTGTACAAAATTCCCATCCCTAAACCTCCTTCAATGGAATTGTCGGAGCATCAGGAACAAGAAATCTGTTAATTTGTTTAAAAAATTAGTTTGGAAAAATATCAGACGTTTTCGCGGAGCTTTAAATGTCAATAATTCCTCCTGTGCAGATCCTTCAGAATGGCTAAACGACTTCTGTTGCAGACTGGCTCCTCCACGGGTTCCTATGGAGGAAGAGATATTCCCAACTGCAAAACGTTTCCCCTCCCACTCTCCCAGCATCCCAAATAACCTTAATGAACCATTCTCTTTAGAAGAATTAAAGTTAGTGCTCAGCCACCTCAAGGACTCCTCACCTGGCATTGACGGTATTCCCTATTCATTTATGGTTAATATGGGCTCTTCATGTCAACAGATCTTTCTTAACATCATTAATCAGGTTTTTACGACAGGTCCTATCCCAGATGACTGGAAAACCCATATTATTATACCCATTATAAAGCCTGGAAAAGACCCCTCTTCAGCATTAAATTACCGCCCTATTGCTATCTCATCAACCTTATCTAAAGTCATGGAACATCTCGTAAAGAATCGACTGGAGTGGATATTAGAAAATAGGGGCATTCTGTCAAGGACTCAATTTGGTTTTAGAAAAGGTTTTAGCACAATGGATAGCCTTAGTATCTTAGTATCAGACATAAGACTTGCTTTTTCCAACAATGAGTATCTTGTAGGCGTCTTTGTGGATGTTCGTTCGGCCTACGATGATGTTATTCTTCCGCTGCTCAGGCAGAAAATGCAACAGCTGAACATCCCGGAGAGAATCACAAATTTCGTGTCAAACCTGCTTTCGCAGAGGCGCATATTAGTTCGTTCTGAAGGCAAGCTCACATCACCTAGACCTGTCTGGAAGGGATTACCTCAAGGCTCAGTTCTGAGCCCCTTGTTATACAGCCTTTATACATATGAACTTGATAGATCTGTAAACTACTTAGCTAATGTCCTACAGTATGCTGATGACTTAGTCTTATATGCATCCGACATTTCCTTTGACCAAGCAATCTCCCGTCTATCCCAAGCAGTTAAATTCCTCAACTTTTGGCTTATAGAACATGGTTTGTCCATTTCAGCTAGTAAGAGTAACTCAGTAGTATTTACTAGACGAAGGTTTTCCCCAGATGTGCCTATCCATATTGATGACTCTCTTATACCTTCTCAGACTCAAGTGAAATTTTTAGGAGTATTTCTAGACAGTAAAATGACAGGTATCCCACATTTATCCTATGTAGCTGCTAAATGTGAAAAAAATTTAAATGTCATCCGATCTCTATCAGGCTCCTAGTGGGGCTCCCATCCTTATTCCCAAAAGCTTTTATATAATGCATTAATAAGAAGCCATTTCGACTATGGTTGTTTTTTACTGGAGCCATGTAGTAAAATGGCACTTAACACACTGGACAAAATCTAGACAAAATGTCTCAGAATCATAACAGGAGCAATGAAATCTACTCCTATCCTCGCTCTCCAAGTGGAATGTGTCGAGCCTCCTCTTTTTCTCCGAAGACAGTATTTATCAGACAGATTTTTATTTTAAGCTGCCTGTTATTCGCACCATCCTCTCCTATCCAAACTACATTCCCTTAACCAGTTAGTCAAGCGATCCCAATATTGGTCACATAAGGATTTGCCATGCATTATAAAAAGCTATTCCAAACTTGTCAATCTTCCTTCTCCAATCTCCAAGTCACTTAGGAACCCTCTCTACAATATTCCCTATGAGGCCCTAATATATAAGCCAGACATATTTTTAAATATTGGCATTTATAAGGACAGCACTGAACCAAATATTAAATTAAACATGATTCTAGCTGAAAAGTGGGTTGACTGCGTGATTATGTTCACAGATGCCTCAAAGGTCAGCGAAAAAGGTTTAGTAGGATCCGCAGTGTGGATACCTAAATATAAAATTATTTTAAATTTTAATTCCCCTTCTGACTCTTCTGTATTCACAGGTGAGTCATTGGCTATATTAGAGGCAGTTTTGTATGCTGAATCTCACAGCCTGAAAAAAACTCTCATATTATCAGATTCCCTTAGCTGCTTACAAAGTATTGCTTCCAGCCCATTTCAATTAAAAGTAAAATACCCATTAATTTTAAATATCAGAGAGTCTCTATTCAAATGTCATAAAAAGGGACTAAAGATTGTCTTGGCGTGGATACCTGCTAACTGTGGGATTCAGGGCAACGAGGTTGCTGATCGAATAGCTAAGGAAGCAGCTAAATCTGGATTACTACCCAAACACAATATTTACCCATATGACCTCCTGTCGAAGGCTAACTTAAGTTTACACTCCTCATGGCAAACCATTTGGCATCAGTCAAAACTTATAAAATGTAAAAATTATGCTAATGTCCAAAATAATATCCCCCTAAAACCTTGGTTCTTTAAAATCCGTCACTTTAGTAAAGTGATTACCTCAACTGTTTGCCGTCTCCGATTCGGTCACACCTGCACACCTGTACACCTAGCTAAATTAAGGATTAGGGATACGTCAATCTGTGAATGTGGGTTAGGCGAAGGAACAGTTAACCACCTGTTTTTGAGTGCCCCAAGGTCTCCTTCTCCTTTTATGATATACTCCCTAACTACATCCCTCGTCCTACTAATTTCTCATACTTACTGTCCCTTGTGTTTACTCTCTTTGTAAATATTTTGTGTGATTATATTAGAACTAATAAAATTAAGTTGTAAGATTACTAACATGGTGATGGTTATAAACTTGTGGCGTCTTTTGTTGTAGATTGTGAAGACCTACACAAACAATAATAACTTGTAACTATTGTAAACACTCTCTTGTCACTCCCATAACTGACTTGACATTGGCAGAATTCTAAAAAGAGAAGCCATAAAACTAAGAAAGAAGAAGAATTAGATATAAACAATGCAAGAATAATTGATTTTCAATTACTTTTTTCTCCAAAATTACGTTGCGTTTCCGCATGTTGTAACTTTGTGTGTGTGCTTATAATAGTGTAACTTTTCTGTAAAAATACGTATCAACCCCCAACTCGACGGGAGTCAATGGAAAGCTAAGCCGAGCATAACACTATAATTTGGTGACCCACGACGTTCCTACAAGAAGGATTTTGGATAAATTCCGTTTCCAACACAACGAACCTGACTTCAGATGTTATAGACTACTCACAAAGATCCTACACTGCATGACATCCGTAGCTACAGTCATATCCTGGCGACGTGGAGAAGAGTATTACGAATGGAGATATTTTAGTAAAAATGTGTAGGTAGTGAAAACAGTTCGTGTTGTGTTTTACGCATTTTAATAGTGATTGACAATTTACCAAGTAGTGCCTTACCACACCCTGCCCCTACATGTGTTTATATGCTGTCATAAACGATCCAGGTTAAGGTGTAAAACATTAATATTACTTGTAATCAAAATAACTATTGACTAAGTTCTAACTTACATCATTTTATGCTTTTAGTAACTCATAATTTACAATCATATTTTAATTATTTGATTTAAGCTCATTCAACTTAGTGTTATCTTAATTTTTATGAAAGCTATTTAATAATAACTTGCCTTTTGTATAAAGTTCTCTCTAATATAGAACATAACTTAACTTAGACTGCATATAAATTATAACCTTTAATTAAGTTCCAACTATAAGCATTATATATGCTTGCTTTACCAACTAAACGACTTAACAAGTTTTTATTACAATTTTATTATTTACTGACAAGTCAAGTAATTAGGATACTATTAAACTTTAATTAAAATAATATGCATATTGTGTTGTGATGTCTTAACATTATTTTGTGTACGTTTTAAAGTATATTATGTTCTGTGTATGTTTTGACTAGTGATTCAATGTAAACACATTACCCTAGAACATAGTGTATTCCATTTAATTATAAGTATTTGTACTTAAATTTAAGGAATATTTTAATAAGATATCAATATTAATATTAAGTTTGATTGTATAATAAGTATTCTGTTACCATGGAGAATACGGGGGATAACATAGATAATGTATCTACTAGCCAAGAAAATATTGTAGTAAACAGAGTAACTATTCGTGCTCCTCCTTTCTTTCCTGACCGTCCTGCACTTTGATTTGCTGGTCTCGAAGCCCAGTTCCACATAAATGGTGTTACACAAGAAACCACTAGATACTTTTATGCTATATCCCAACTAGACACCAAGGGGGCAGTAGAAGTGGAGGACATCATTACTGATCCACCAAAGACACAGCCATATTCGACGTTAAAAAATGCACTAATTACACGATTTTCAGAGTCCTATGATGAAAAGGTTAGAAGATTGTTAGAAAAAGAGGAGATAGGCGACAGGAAGCCATCGTCCTTCCTTCGACATCTTAAAACACTTGCTGGCTCATCATTTCCAGACCAACTGCTGAAATCTATATGGATGAGCAGGCTGCCTCATCAAGTGCAGGGCATTTTAGTTGCTCAAAAGCAAGCTTCTCTGGAAGATCTTGGAGATTTAGCTGATAAACTTCATGAAATTAATCCCCAATTAACATCGGCATACAAGGTCAGTGCTATCGATCAATCTCTTGGCACAGCTTTATCTGTTCCTTCGACATCTGATGAAATTAAGATGCTCCACTAGAAGGTAGACGAATTAACCCGCATCGTTGCTAGTCTCACAGTAGGTACGGGTAAAAATAAACGTTACCAGAGCCGTAGCAGAAGCCGTTCACAGTCTAGAACGAGGGACAAGCAGCTCTGTTGGTATCACAATAGATTTTCATCCAAAGGCCACAGATGCGTACAGCCATGTTCCTGGCAAGCACCAAACGGTCCAAATCAGGGAAACTCCAGCAGCAATCAGTAAATGCGACGCGTACTGATTGCCCCGTAAAAGGTCGCCGTCTTTTCGTTAAAGACCGCTGCACCAAGCGTCGATTCCCGATTGACACAGGTTCAGACTTATGTTGCATACCTTGACAACATGTGCAAGGTCCGAAACAGCCGCAACCATATGAACTAATTGCAGCAAACGGCACCAATATAAAAACTTATGGCCTAGTACAACTAAGCTTAGACTTGGTCTAAGAAGAGATTTTAAATGGAGTTTCGTTATTGCAGATGTCGCTACTGGTATCATCGGATCTGACTTTCTAGCATATTACCATTTATTACCAGACTGCTCCGAAGGTAAACTACGGGATGGGAAGACTGGACTGTCTGCTCCCGCTGTTATTTCAAGTCTTGACCAACCAAGCGTTAAAGTGGTTGCGCTTTCTGACTCGCCGTTCGCCAATGTTTTAGCAGAATTTCCTAGCATCTGTAGACCTCCAGGAGCACCTCGAAATCTGAAGCATTCTACAGTACACTATTTTAATACCACTGACGGTCCTCCGGTTACTACTTGCGCACGTCGCTTGGCACCTCAAAAACTTCTTGCTGCGAAAAAAGAATTTGAGGAGATGGTTTGTGTAGGAACAGCAAGACCATCCAGCAGCTCATAGGCGTCGCCACTACACTTAGCACTGAAAAAGGATTCCACCTGGCGTCCTTGCGGAGACTACCGTGCTCTGAATGCCAGGACAATTCCAGATCGATACCCCGTTCGTCATTTAGGGGATTTTTGACAGAACTTAGCAGGATCCAGCATTTTTAGCACCATCGATCTTGTAAAGGCATATCAGCAGATACCTGTCAATACTACCGATGTGTGCAAAACCGCTATAATAACTCCCTTCGGTCTATTTGAGTTCCCTTGCATGACCTTTGGACTTCGGAACGCTGGACAGACATTTCAAAGGTTTATAGACGAAGTTGTGCGTGGACTCGATTTCTGTTTTGCGTATGTTGATGATATACTCGTATACTCAAGAGACCGAGATCAACACGAGCAGCATTTAAGGGCATTGTTCCAAAGACTACACGAATACGGCGTCGTTATCAATCCAAGCAAATGCATATTCGGTGCAGAAGAAGTAACCTTTTTAGACTATAAGATCAGCGCAACAGGTACACGATCACCCGAAGAAAGAATCCGTGCCTTAGTGGAATTCCCACCGCCTAAAACAGTGCAAGGCATGCGAAGATTCTTGTGGATGATAAACTATTACCGACGTTTTCTACCCAACGCAGCCAAACACCAAGCACCTCTTATCGACGCTGTGACCTCTACAAACAGCAAAGGTGCTAAACCATTCCCATGGACATCTTAGACTTAAACTTTCCTCCAGCTTAGGCTGGAGGAAAGTTTTGAAGACTGCAAAAGGAGCCTCTCCCAAGCAACTGTCCTAGTACACCCGGATTGCAACGCAGAGTTAGGTCTTTTTACGGATGCCTCAAATACTCACATAGGTGCATGTCTTCAGCAGAAAAAGGAAGGAGACGATTAGCATCCTCTCGCTTATTTAAGTAAGAAATTAACTGCTAAACAGTCTGAATGGCCCGCGTATTACCGCGAACTCCTTGCTGTGTATGAGAGTGAACATTTTAGGTATATATTAGAAGTCCACATGCGACGATATATACCGACCATAAACTTTTGGTGTACGCTTTTATTCAGCGCCGAGAGAAATTACCTCCCACACAGCTAAATCAGTTGTCTTTTATAAGTCAATTTTCGACTGATATCAAACACATAAAGGGAGATAACAACATCGTGGCATACACAATGTCTCGAATCGAGTCGATATCCCTCGAAGAGGACTACATAGCATTATCAGTTTCTCAAGAAGGGGATCCAGAATTAAAGAAACATGAGAAGAATTCATCACTGAGACTAGAAAAAGTCACCATCCCTGGCACTTCGGTAACAGTCATATGCGACACCTCAACTGGCCGACCAAGACCATTTCGCACACATCCTTTTCGTCGTGCTGCTTTTAATAAATTGCACAACTTAAGTCACCCTGGCGTTCGAGCTACAGTTAAATTAGTGTCGGAGCGCTATGTTTGGCCAGATATGAAAAAGGAATGCCGTGTGTGGGCTCGCTCATGTCTAAACTGCCAGCGTAGTAAAGTGACGCGCCATATAATTTCACCCACTGGTAATTTCAACGGTCCTTCTGGAAGGTATAGGCATGTACATATTGACATCATAGGGCCGCTTGCACATTCACACGGTTACACCTATTGTCTTACTGCGATCGACAGGTTCACGCGATGGCCGGAAGCATGGCCTATAACATCAATAACTGCTGAAGAAGTTGGAGAAACTTTTGTTGCAGGCTGGATATCGCGTTTTGGAGTACCCAATATTATGACCACTGACCAAGGAAGACAGTTCGAATCTGCATTTTTCTCGCGTCTAATGAACCTCTGCGCAAAGAAACGTATTCGAACCACTGGTTACCATCCATGTGCCAATGGCATGGTCGAAAGGATGCATCGACAATTAAAGGCTGCGCTAATGTGTCACTCTAATACTTGGACGAAAGTATTACCGCTCGTCCTCCTAGGAATGAGAAGCACGCTCAAGGAGGATATAAAAACCTCAGCAGCAGAACTGGTGTATGGAGAACCGCTACGTTTACCAGGTGAGCTAATCGCACCTCAAAAGTTTACAAATAATCCTGCAGACGTAATGGACTACGTAGCAGATTTAAAAAGGAAAATGGAAATATTACGTCTAATTTCTGCATCTCACCACACGCGGCCGTCTACATTTATTTTCAAGGATCTCGCACCGACTACTCACGTTTTCCTTCGTGATGATGCAGTAAGGCGCCCTCTACAACCACCGTATACGGGTCCTCACGCAGTTCTTCAGAGAAGAGACAAAACGCTGACCTTAGACGTCAATGGTAGAAAGGTCACTGTAAGCATTGATCGTGTGAAGCCGCCTTACATTGAAAATAATAAATCAGGCAAACAAACTACTACTCCTGCGACCCCAGCAACCGCTAATACTCCTCCTCCTATAGTCCAACGTACCCGTAATAACACAGTTACGCCATCCGATACTAGAGTAGTTAAAACAAGATCTGGCAGATGCGTCAGATTTAGAAATATTTTAGATATTTAGAACTTATTTTGTAATTTTTTTTTTACCTTTATTTAGCCTTATTATTCTCCGTAAGGGGGTAGTGTGGCGAAACGCCAAGCCGCCAAAGCATTAAAGAGGATATTAGCCTTTGGACATAAGGCATTATGTCTATGGCTACCCACGCTAACAACGCAGTTTTTATAAAATCTAATCCTACTTGATTTTAAGTTATTAAGTTCTGTTATTACGCACTATCTCTTATACTTGTTACTTTTTTTTCTTTTTTTTTTATAGGTTCGGGTGACAAACGAGCACATAATCCACCTGATGGTAAGTGGTTGCTGTGGCCCATAGTATCCATTTATCCTCGTTTGCGAATCAAAATGCAGATCGTTGTCACCCGTGAGGACTAAGATGAAATGCCTCTTTTCCAGTAAATAGGGTCTCCGGTTCTCTACACTCACCATACGAAACACAGCAGTGGCTGCTATTTTACGCTGGTATTCTGTGAGAGCGTGGTCCTTCCCCGGTTGAGCTGACCCATTCGTGCTGCAACTATACTACATAATATAGCTGCAGCATGGCTCTACCACGTATAAAAATAAATACTTTGGTGGCAGTATATCAATATAAAGTTCATCACTAGTAATGCCGTTTTAATGTATACCCTAGAACTACAACACGTCAGTATAACTTCCGTAGGAGTAATAGTGTTCGGTGAGCATAACACTATGCCATCTCCCGCCCCAAAAAGTAAAATCGTCGTATTTTCGAGGCGAAGACTCATCCCAGAAGTGTCAATCTCTATTGGAGACTCTGTAGTGTTATGCTACTTACATATCATTTTACATTATTTTAAATTCATTTTTCCATTCTGTTTCGATTTTCTGTATTCACTTCAAAACTGGATATTTTACATCACCTTTATTTCCATAGGATCCTGTAACGATTTTAAACCATAAGAACACAATAACAAATCATTTCTACTTCGTATTTTCACATTATCAGCACTTTTAAATTGGTGTCAATGGAGTCTACCTTTTTTTTCGATCTTTTAGTTAGTTTTCCGTAACTCTACAATCTCGGGCTTTGTGTGGGCAGCTGCGCTACCTTTTTTCCTATATCTTCTTCGTCTTCGGCGAAGCCTTCTTCAAGCGCGGAGCCGCACCACTCCGGAATCCTACAAGCCTCCATCTACCTCGGAAGTCGTCGGCAGTCTACTTCAAGCGCGGGGGGCCACACTACTCCGGGCGCTACGACTGCTTACTCCAGGCGCCGAGTGCACCTACCGGCTGCGCTACCTTTGGGCGCTGCAACTGCTGGCTCTAAGCGTTGAGCGCCCCTTCTCCAGGCGCTACGTGCGCCGGCTCCGGACGCTGCGTGTGCTGGCTCCAGGCGCTGCGCGCCGTCGCTGCTAAGAAACCTACCTCTACAAGCGCAACCGGCGTGTGCTGGCTTCAGGCGCTGCGTGCCGTCGCTGCTAAGAAACCTACCTCTACAATCGCAACGTGTGTCGCTTCGACTTTTAGGCTCCACTACAATTCTATATTCCCCTATTCTCCTACCTTTATTTTTTTTGTAATCTAATTGTACTCTCACTTCATTCATCATCATCCTCATTTCATTTTTTTATAAAATTGTAAATACCTTTTAAAAATTTAAATATATTGTTTTCTGGCTCTACTTTTGTTGTTTTGTTGTACTTAGGTTAGGTTCTATTTTTTTTAATTGTCGCTTCACGACAACTCATTGATTCCCAATGTGAGCCATGTGAAATTCCTCGGTGTCATGCTAGATAGCAAATTGTCTGGAATTCCCCACATATCCTACATAGCTTCAAAATGCGAAAAAAATCTTAACGTCATTCGCGCTATATCATGAGCTTGGTGGGGCTCTCATCCTTACTCCCAAAAGCTTTTATATAATGCTTTGATTAGAAGCCATTTTGCCTATGCTTCCTTTTTGTGGGAACCATGCAATAAAAGTGCGCTTAAAACTTTGGATCAAATTCAACTAGAATGCCTTCGCATTATAACAGGAGGAATGAAATCTACCCCCACTAACGCTCTCCAGGTCGAGTGTGGTGAGGGTCCTCTCTTTCTTCACAGGCAGTACCTAGCAGACAAATTCTGGTTCAAAAAGTGTTTTCTTCATAATCATCCGCTGTTCCATATACTAAACTCACTTCACCAACAAATTTCAATTTCCCCATACTGGCGACATAAAGATATACCATGTCTTTTAAAAAGCTATATAAAGTTTGTAAACATATAATCTCCAATCTTCCAAAATAGCAACAACTTACTCTTCTCCACTCCCTACGAAGCACTAGTTTTCAATCCAAACATCATCCTTGACTTTGGACTTGACAAGAAAACCATTGATCCTAACAGCAAATTAAAGAAAATCATCTCAGAGAATTGGCAAGACTGGATCATTATGTACACAGATGCTTCAAAAACTTCTAACAAAGATTGTGTAGGTTCTGCAGTTTGAATCCCTAAATATAGAATAATATTAAATTTTAAGTGCCCACCTGAATCATCAGTTTTAAAAGGTGAATCTATTGCCATCTTAGAGGCAATTCTATATGCCGAATCTCACAACCTGGAAAATACCTTAATTCTCTCTGACTCTCTTAGCTGTCTCCAAACCATTATCTCCAGCTCCTTCCACTCTAAATCAAATCTTTTCCCTATCCTTTTTATTAAAAAAGCATTATATAATTGTCACAAAAAGGCCTACAAGTTGTTTTGGCTTGGATTCCAGGCCATTCTGGGATACGTGGTAATGAGTGTGCTGATTTCTTGGCTAAGGTAACAGCATACAGGTATCCTCTCTCAGTATCAAATTTTCCCCCATGACTTGCTTCCACTAGCAGGATCTGACTTCATGGCATCTGGGCAAGGTCTCTGAGATCAAACTAAAACCATAAAATGTAAACACTACGCTCGGGTTCAAGTCACAATCCCATACAAACCTTGGTTTTTCCATTATCGTGAAGCTAACAAATTTACTACATCAACCATTTGCCGTCTTCGCTTTGGTCATTCTTGCACACCGGTACACCTAGCCAAATTAAGGATAAGGGATAATTCTTTATGTGAATGTGGTCTTGATGAAGGTTCAACCGATCACATATTTTTCGAATGTCCTCGACTCAAGTTCTCCTTGTATGATATCCTTCCTCAAAACATCCCTCGTCCTACTAATGCTACCTGTCTGCTGTCTGTCGTGTTCTCCTCATTTGTTCATATTTTATGTGATTTTATTTATACTAATAGTTTTAAGTTCTAACATAAAACTAATCATTGTTGGTGGTAGAATTATAAATGTTTGTGTAGTCTTTTGTTGTAGATTAGACTCCAATCACAAAAAAAAAATTATAAAAAAAGATTTTATTTACCTTGTTGTCATTCCCATAACTGACTTGACATTGGCAGAATTCTTTTAAGAGAAGCCAAAAAGTAAAGAAGAAGAAGAAGAAGAACTAGTAGATTCTACCAGAATTAGACCATAGATATAGTATTAAACTCGTAGACAGAGAAATATAGATAGACAAGACCTCAGCGTATGTCAGTAAGAGATAGCGATAGTTCGCCAAAGTACATTACTACAATTACATATAATTTAAATTGACATACTTAGACTTTTACCACCATTGTGTGGGTAATCTAGTTCTTTTTATTTCGGTTGTATTACGTCAACTACTAATTTAATTAATTTTATATTCTATGGGGACGTATTTATGACTATTTGACTGTGCACGAACTGAATGACTCCGGGATGAACATTAACGCGAAGAGAAATGAGTTGCAATGATCATTTTATTACAATTTATCTAAGATATCCTCTCAGAAGCCAATTTACATAATTTAGGACCGGGTTTAGTAAGCTCGTGGGGCTTTCGAGTGTTTATTCTGTATTTATAGCTCAACACGTAAATAGTACAATTAAATAAATCATAATCAACTCATAGCTCCGAATGCATTCAGTTCGCGCATGTCATCCCTTAGCTAACAACACCGCATAAGTCATTTTTACCAACTTTACAGGAGACGAAAAAAAACTGTCCATTTTAAAAAATCTACGTTACTTAATAAATGCCCTAGTTAGCGGTTAAGGAATAATTATTTATAATTATTTTGACTATATACTTTATTTTAACTTTTATTTTATGACTTGAGCTGTGTTGACTGATATTTTATTAGATTTAGGTGGAGTTGTTTGCGGAAATGTTAGGAAATAAGGTATTAATAGATGATTTACAACGAAAAGTTTTTATTACGAAATATTTCAATAATAATTAACAATCGTTATAACATATCTATAACCTAAGTCTTGCGAATCACACGAACCTTTAGAGCGTATGTGCAATTTTTTATTGTTATTTTAATTGGTAAATATTTAAAACATAGTCTTTAAAAATTCTAACGAAACAAGATATAATAGTAACAAAATAATAAAAGTTAAAAGTTGTACTCGAAATCTCTAGTCTAATAGTTAGTTGCAGTCTTTAGCCATAGTGCTGTGCGGAAGGTCATCATAAAAAGAGTGGCAACTAGTTATTAATACACTTTTTAGATCAAGCAAATCTTCACACTTCCGCTTTGTAATTGGTATTCTAGCTGCATACAATTTCTGCAGGTGATTTATTTGTTTAATGCTGTTAATTGGCGTGGGACGATATGGTAACGGATGAACCTCATCAACAAAATCAATTTTGTACTAAATTGTGCCATTTCGTATGTATTTTAGCATACGTACATCTGTGACGACTGGGTCACCTGTCTTTTAACCAGGCCGTATAGATTTATAAATTAATTCTTTCGAAAAGTCGATAAAAAGGTATAGTCCTAACAACGAGCTTCATTAGGCATAGGATCCCTCCTAGCTGTTTTAGTTATAGCCATGTGTTGTTGTGGAAGGTAAATTTCTTTACCTTTTAATTTACACTCTATTGCACTGTGTACGTAATCTAATTCTATGTGAGAATGGCCTTTTTCCAGGTACTTTTGAGTTACCACAATATTTTTTTC